GGCTCGCCTTTCAAGACGTTTCAGCTCGCATGCCACTTACACTTTGCTTGACACGATATTGCTCCGTCACTTGAATACACCTTGTCTATTGCGTGACGGCCCGAGCTTCCATTTAGCTTGACAGGTGAAACTAGCTCTTGCATTGCATTTGGCATGGCAAGAACCTGACCCTCCCAGATGTACAGACTACAGTCTACAGTGCTGCTTGCAAGTACCTCGACTCTAGATTACCATCAGCTTCCCTGCTACTTGTTTCAGCTTGCTCTGAGCATGTCTCCTCCTTCCTCCCCTCCGCGGTGGTTTTACTGTTTTCCCATTGTACAGGTGCAGAGTTAGCTAGTCCGCGACACGTTCTAGCCCGAACGCGTGATGTCACACATCGCTGCGGCCAAACATAGGTTAGCGTGCATGAGGTTCGCTTTCAAACTGCTTCTCGTACGACTGTCAACCAGTCTTCTGACGGGCCCCTATCTCTCAACTATATAGCTTATAGTGCGAGCGAGTGTACTGTAATGCTCCGTTGAATTGCCTGAATGCTTTCCCCGCTGCAGATCGCGAATTATTCGCGTGCTGGTAGATCGCATTCAGCTGCTGCAAATTGCATCCGTATAGCATGCATGCACGCCCACGTCCTGATTATGTTCCCCTCTGCGTGCGCGCAGCCTCTCTCGGCATCTCTCATCAGACGGGAGGGCAGGGCCAGGAAACCATGTTCGCGCACGATGATTCCGCGTGCCAGAGGGTGAGGCGATAAAGCGCGGCTCTGGCCAGCTCCAGCCAGACCGCATTCGTGCAGTATCAGGTCGGGCGTGTCTTCCTACAGGCGGGTTCTGGAAGAGAAAAGGAGCAACAGTCAAGACACCCCAAAACAGTCAAAAGAGCACGACAAATCGTCCCCAGGCTACGTGTTGCCTGTTCTGGAACATTCCTCCTGTCGAGGGACGTGCCCGACCCAATCCTAAGAAACCTTCGCCTCGCTCTCGGGAGCGCGGGCTGGGGCACATGTGCCAGGCCGCCAACGTCCAGTGCAAAGGGGCACCTGACGCCAGAGGGCAAGCGTGCTCCAGAAACCAGGCCAGCCTTCCAGCAAGTTGGCTGAGACACGCTGGCCCAGCGTTTCGCGAAGAGCCACGACGCGACTTTGGAGGAGAAGACAGAGAGGCCCCGAGGCCTGGCCGTCTAGCTGCGAGCGCAAGGGGACGAGCTCGCGGCAAGCATGACGTCGTATCCCAGCGCTTCGGGAAGAGAGGATTGTTTGATCTGGTGCTCGACTGTATGTTTTATGCCGAGTGTTGGTCGTCGGCATGTGCTGGCAGAGATGGCCCAGCCGGCAGCAGAGGTGCCTGGCAGCCCCTGGGGCCCCAACGGGCAAGGAGGCGGGGCAGAGCTGCCTCAATGCCTCCAGAGCGCTCCCCGCCTCCCGCGTGCCCGTGCGCCCTGCCTCGCGGGATCCTCCCACCTCCCCCTCCTCCTGGGCCCTCTCCTCCTCCTCCTCCTCCTCCTCCTCCTCCTCCACCTCCTTCTCCACCTCCTCCTTCTCTTTCTCGTCCTCCTCCTCCTCTTCCTCCTCCTTCTCCACCACCTTCTCCACCTCCTCCTCCTCTTTCTCCTCTCCATCCTCCTCCTCATCCCCATATCCGTATCCTTATCCTTATCCTTATCCTTATCCTTATCATTATCCTTGTCCTTATCCTTATCCTTATCCTTATCCTTATCCTTAACCTTATCCTCCTCCTTATCATCATCCTCGTGGATGCTGTAGGTGGCCAAGGGCAAGTCCACGTGGCTTCTCGCGCGGGTGCCGGCAGGAACCTCCGTGGCCACGGTGCGGCGCCTCCGCTGGATGACGCGGGTGGCGCACAGCGGCACGACCAACGGCATGGCCTACGACCTGCGCTACATGGTGTTGCAGGAGCTGTCCTACAGGCCTCGCGAGAAATCATAGGGGAACAAAAAGTGGCAAAGCATAAAAACTCGGAGCCCGGGCGGATTTCTCGGATCGGCGCTGGGGCCCCCGTCCATGGCGCGCGGAGCGCGCCACGGGCGGCGCTGGAGGCGCCGCTGGGGGGGCCATCCGAGAAATCCGCGCGGCCATCCACGTCGTTATGTTTATGTCACTGCTTGTTCCCCTGAATTAGCGAACGCTGATGCCGCATTCATCTGTCAATGCCCCTCCAATGATCAATGTTGGCGGTGGGCTGAACGAGCTGCACTTTGACCGCAGTCTTCCCCGCGCGTGCCAACTTTGAGTTTGGGGGGCGGGGGGGTGTTCACTAATTGTTTCCTTCTACCGTACCACGTGCGGGGCACCACGGAGCAGCAGCTGAAGAAGCGATGGTTACATCAGTGGGGAGCGACCTGCGGCATGACCTCCACCTTCATCGAATCTGTGAAGGCGCTGCTGAGGAGACCGATCAACGGGCGGTGGACGCAAGCCCACCGCACGAGGGTGCGCAACCTTTTCCGTGGAGGCATGCGGTCCCAGGCGCGCCTACACACCAAAGGAGCTCCGCAAGTCGAAGTCTACAGAGAGTACGGGCTTGCTGGCACCAGGCACTGGCAGCCATGGGAACTTTCTCTGTCCAGCCAGGCACGAGCATCGAAGACGAGTGGGTGCGAGACACATAGTTCAACGATGAGCGAACCCTTGGCCTGGACAAGGGGCTGAACGAGTTCCTTACTAAGAGCGACTGGGTGGGCCTGACCACAGGCGACATCTAAACCGACGGTTCTCTGCAGTTCGGCGACCATAGGCCAATGAGGCGCGGAGGCTGGGACTTCGTGAACATTGACGATAAAGTTGATATGGTGTACGCGTGCTACGGGCAATTGCCAAGGTCCCAATAGACGCAGAGTATCATGAGAGAGTCGTGCGGTGTCCTGCAAGCACTCAGACATGCAGCACCACCGATCTGCATTTTCACCGACTGTCAGAACGTGCTGGACGGGATCGACAAGGGGCCGACCATGACGGACTGGAAGCAACGCAAGCACCAGGATTTGTGGGACCAGATCTGGGCCGCCATCGCCGAGCTCGGCGGTGTAGACCCACGCACCGTGACGTCCAGTAAAATGAAGGACCATGCGACGCGGGTCGAAAGAGATAGAATCGGTCGTGCGCGCTGGGAGGGAAATCGTAGTTCTGATAAGATCGCCAAGCCGGGGGCCATGTATCATACACATCCCGCGTGGTACACAGAGGCCTACAGAGTGATATAAACTCGTTCGTGCTATCCTCGGATTCGCCGCCTACGTAGGAGGCCAAGACCGTGAGATCGTCGACTCTGTGCTGGGCTCGAGTCCTGCCATGGTGACCCTGGACCTCATTGGGACTCCTTGGACTCTTTGCGGGGCACGATCCGTGCGAGGCGTGCCACTGTGCGAAACTTGTCTCTAGTGACGTGGGTGGAGCCCCCTGTGGGGCGCGATCCCTGTGAAGGGTGTGCCGACAAGGGCGGGGCAACGCTAGCCAAGCCGACCCCCCCCTCTCCACCCCCGCCGATGGACCCCCTCCCTTCTTGGGCCGCTCTGGACCGGGGAGCCGGCAGGGTCGACAACGCGCGAGCGGCGGGGTACACGCGGGTGCTTCGCCGAAAGGTCGTTTCCTGTCGCAGGTGTACCGGGTACGCCTGTGACAAGTGGACGGGCCCATTTTCCCAGTGTCACTCTGGGAACAATGGATAGATCAGGGGTAGGTTGACCCGTCTGTGGCAGGGTAATCACCCCACCACGAAGAGGCCCGCGTGAGGTCACCTCCTGGCCAGTGCGTGGGCTCTCTGGTTTCGACCTGGGGACGGTCCGAAGTGGCCCGGGAATCCGCGGCAGCAGCTCCATGGGGCGATGCTAACCGTTTGGCTGGCTCTAATCCAGATCCAATCCTTCTCCTCCTCCTCCTCCTCCTCCTCCTCCTCCTCCTCCTCATCATCATCATCATCATCATCATGATCAGCATCAGCATCCGCATCACCATCATCAGCAGCAGCATCAGCATCAGCATCAGCATCCTGATCCTCATCCTCATCCTCATCCTCATCCTCATCCTCATCCTCATCCTCATCCTCATCCTCATCATCATCATCATCATCATCATCATCATCATCATCATCATCATAATCATCATAATCATCATCATAATCATCATCAGCAACGTCAGCATCATCATCATCATCACCAACACCATCATCATCAGCATCATCAGCATCGTCATCATTATCGTCATCATCATCAGCAACATCGTCATCACCATCATCATGAACAGCAGCATCATCAGCATCATCATCATCAGCACCATCATCGTCATCATCAGCAGCATCAACATTATCAGCACCATCATCATCATCATCATCATCATCATCATCATCAGCAGCAGCAGCAGCAGCATCAGCATCATCATCAGCAGCATCAGCATCATCCTCCTCTTCATCCTCATCCTCATCCTAATCCTTATCCTCATCCTCGTCAGCACCATCATCATCATCATCATCATCGTCATCATCATCATCATCATCATCATCATCATCATCATCATCATCATCATCATCCTCATCATCATCCTCATCGTCATCATCCTCATCATCATCCTCGTGGAGGGGGGCAGGAAGCCATCCTGCTCGACGAGGGGAGGGTGGCTCCCTGCCTCCCGCGCGCCCGCCCGTGCCATCATCGCGCCGATCTCCCCCCCTCCTCTTCGAAGGCAGTCCTCCTCCCCCTCCTCCGCCTCCTCCTCCTCCTCCTCTCACCTCCTTTCCTCCCTCCTCCTCCTCGCTCCTCCTCCTCCTCCTCCTCCTCTCCTCCACTTGCTCCTCCCTCCTCCTACTCCTCCCCCTCCTCCTCCTCCTCTCCCCTCACTCCTGCTCCTGTCTGCTCCTGCTCCTGCTCCTCCTCCTCCTCCTCCTCCTCCTCCTCCGCTCCTCCTCCTCCTCCTCTCCTCGTGGAGGGTGGCTCCCTGCCTCCCGCGCGCCCGCCCGTGCTCTCCTCGCGCGACCTTCCCCCCCCCCCTCCTCTTCGAAGGCAGTCCCCTGGTGGTCGATGAACGCGAGGTGGGAGTCGCCCGACGCCTCTATCGGGTCGGGCGAAAGGGGGGGATAGCAAAGGGGGGGGTTGAGAATCAGCTCACGTAGCTGATTTTCCCGGCGCCTCCCGGCGCCGGGAGGCGCCCATGTATCGAGGAATGAGCCCCTCGGTGAGGCCGAAATCAGCTGCATGCAGCAAATTTCGTAACCCCCCCTTTCCCAATCCCCCCCTTTCGCCCGGCCCGACGCCTCTAGAGGGCAGAAGGGCAACTCTCAGAATAGGCACCCCAACAAGCGAGGGCGTTTCGTAAACGCATCCAGGGAGGGAATCGAACGGGGCAAGACTCGTCAGCAAACGCCCAGGACTGCTTGGCCCACGCCAATTACAATTATGTGGGTCGGGGTGTGTTGGTGCTCCTCCTGTAAACCTTCTTCCCGGCAACGATGAGCTGATTGTATAGCGGGTTCATCTTGCTGCGCCTGTTGTACATCACGCGGCCGATGTAGGACGCGTATTCGTGCGGGCCCATGGAGCAGTCGTCCTCGGAGTCTCCGCTGATACTCCCATCGACAACGCGCTCGCGATTACCATCGTCTTCACCCTTGTGAATGCAGTCGCCATGGCAGGATGAATCAGCATCGGAATCTGCGTCGGATCCAGCTGCGTCGGCACGGAGTCGAAATCGAATATGATCGGCTGTGCCAGAATGCACAATAACGCAATGCAAACATCAGGCCGCATCGAATCGTCGGAAGTCGGAATACAGAGAAATAGAGGAAAGAACGCCTGCGTTGCACGCTATCCTTGTACAAAATCCAAACCTCCCGCGCTCTGGAACCACCCAACCCCCCACCCCGAAAATGCCCCCCGCCCCTTTCCTGGCGAGAACCCCAACTCCAAACCTCCGAAAGTTCGAGGGGGGGGTAGATCCCCAAACCTCCCCCTCTCGCCGCGTCGTCGTCGTCGTCATCGTCGCCGCCGCCGCCGTCGTCGCCTGTTGGCGAGTCAGTCTGTCGGGCGGCTGGGCGGGCAGGACACGTCTTCGACGTCGTCGTGGGCCAATGGGTCGGACGGGCAGGCGCGACGAGTCGTCGTCGTTTGCCAGCGCTGGGCGTCGTCGCCGTCGCCGTCGCCATCGCCGTCGTCGCCGTCGTCGTCGTCGCCGTCGTCGTTTGCCGGCGAGTCCGTCGGGCGGGCGGGCAGGCGGGACGTCGTCGACGTCGTGGGCGAATCGGTCGGACGGGCGGGCGGGATCAGTCGTCGTCGTCGTCGTCGTCGTCGTCGTCGTCGTCGTCGTCGTCGCTTGCCACCGCCAAGCGTTGTCGCCGTCGCCGTCGCCGTCGCCATCACTGTCATAGAAGTCGTCGTCGTCGTCGTCGCGCCATCACCGTAATAGCCGTCGTCGTCGTCGTCGTCGTCGTCGCCATCGCCGTCGCCGGCGGCCAAAAGGGGGACCGACCCTCGCTCTCAAAGAGAGGGGGGTCGGCCCGCGACCCGGCTTCCTCCCAGCGTGTTCAGGGGACGCCCGCTCGAAAACCCGAACCCCGAATCGGACGAAGCCAGCCAGAGTCTATGTCACACCGGATCGACCGGATCGGAATGGACCTTGCGCCCACCTTCGTCATCGCCCCACCAGCAGTCATCACCACCAGTCCCGCCCGCGCCCACGCCATCGTCATAGTCCCACAAGCACAGTCACCGCCACCAGCACGGTCATCAGATTGCCAGATCGCGCCACGGTGCTGATCCCCACCCCCATGAGTCGGCGGCGAGCCAGGGGGGAAGCGAGAGGGGCCAGGCCTTCTCAAAGGCCCGAGGCCCTTCGAGCCTTCTGAGAGGGCCCGCCCACTCTTCATTCCCCCCTGGACTCGAGTGAGGCATCGTCGCCAGCCGCCCCTGCCGGCTGGCGGCATGGGATGGGCCCCTCTTTGGATGCCAACGGCGCCCGCAGAATGACCTCCCGCCCCGAAGGGCGGGATGGGGTCCCTCCCCATCCCCACTGGTCGGCGCTGGCGGCCAGGTCTGAGGCGCCTGGGTACTCGAGATCGGCCGCCACGAGCGTCGCAAGTGAAGTGCGTGACAGAAGTCGCCAGGACAAACACACGACAACGACGACGACGGCAACGACAACGACGACGACGACGACGGCGACGACGGCGGCGGCGACGACGACGACGACGACGACGACGACGACGAAGGGCGGCGGCGGCGGCGGCGGGGGCGGCGGCGGCGGCGGGGGGGGCGGCGGCGGCGGCGGCGGCGACGACGACTGGAGAGCAACGCCTTCTCCTCATCGTACAGCCATCGTTCTACCACAAGGAGCGCCGAGTAAGGAACGAAGGGGCTGTCCGAGGTTCTCCGACATAGCTCAAACAAGGCCCCAACGCTGAAGCCCCTCCTGGACCCCAAATTGTCCTTACTCCAGCGTCTTGACCGTAGTCCTCGCCACACTCACGTGGCAGTGCGCCACTCTCCGCGCCGCCGCGCCACTCGGGAGAGACACTGCGGTCTAGTCCTGCGAGGTACAGAAGAACCGAGGCGCGACGCCACGATCGCCCTCGCCGATGCTCGCACTTCATGGACACGCCAGCTTCGAGGAGCATTTCGCCGTCCCCACAAGAAAGATATGTGAGAAAAAGCAAGAGGGGCTAAGCGCCGCCGGCTCCTCATGAAGAAAGTCTGTCATGGCGAGCTCGTCGACCAGGTCTCCTGGACCGCGCCCAAGCTGCGCACACAAAGCGTGCCGAAACCCACTAGCCGTCGGTCCAAGTCGAACCTCGTCGAGCAACTCCCATGGATAGCGCATATCGCGGCACACGCGGGGGGCATCCTAGTGCCACTGTCTGCGGCGAAGAGGGATGCGAGCACAAGGACATGCTAGTACGATGTGTCCCCCTTGGAGGCGTGCGTCCGACCCGAGAATCTAGTAGGACCATCGTGTAGATTGTCGTGCCCCGAGCGGTAGGGCCAGAAAGCGCCCGCCACGAAGCTTACACCACGAGACTTCTCGGCGCGCGCGTCGCCCCTTGCAGGGGGGCGACGCACACGTAGTAGTTATTAGTAGGCCGGGGCCACCGGAGAAGAAGACTCGCCTCGCGCCCGGTCGTGCCGGCGCGACGAGGCTCCCGGGCGGTGGCCCCGAGCGAGGGCGGGGCCCCGGAGGGCTCCGCTCTCCGAGGAGCGCAGGCGGAGCCGGCCGCGGCGGCGAGGGCGCCCCGGCAGGCGCAGGGAGGTGCCGGGGGCGTCCGGAGGCCGTGGTCCTCCCCGGGCGCTGTTGCCCAACACGGGCGGGGTGGATTGGAGAGGGCACGCGAGAGGACACAGGACTCTTCCGAGGGCCACGTTGCCATAGGAATGTAGAGGCATGGGTCGCGAAGCACAGGACACCAGGGCACCCTGGATTGAGCAGGGTCGACCTACTAATCCGGCTCGGCTGTCCAGGCTTCTCTCTTGGGGGCCACTTGGATCCAAGCAGCGGTAAGGCAGCGGTGGGACGCGACGAGGCAAATCACGGCGCGAGCAGAAGAGAGGACGACCTAAGGGACGAGTGGCAGAAAAGGGAAAGAGGACGCGCGCGGCGGGAGGGACCTGAGATAATCAGTGGCCTCCCGGATGGGGTCAGAGCAGAAGGGGCAGGAGGATCGCACCGCATTGGTGATGCATCGGCGATGCACTGGCCATGCACCGGCGACGTCGGCGAGGAGGAAGCTGGTCTCCACATGGAGCCGCATGGCGGGTGCATCGGCGATGCGGCGCAATACTCCGACCCTATTTGCCCGGACCCCATCTGGAAGGTCTGTGGGAAAAAACACACAGTGGGAAAAAAACGCACACAGAATCTGTGGGACAAATACACACAGAGTCTGTGTGTTTTTGTCCCACAGTGTGCGTGTGTTTTTTGTGTGTGTGTGCTCTCCCACACGTGCGTGTTTTTTTCCCACAGTGTGTGTTGGTGTGTATGTTTTTTTGTGTCTTTTCGATCAGTTCTTCGGGAGGCGCTGGTCCTGTGCAGCACTCGAGGGGTCGTTCCGGTCGGCCCGCGGGCCTCGAGGTCTCGGCGGGCGGTCTTCCGCCCCAGACCCGCTGGCCCCGAAGACGGCCCCCCCGAGGCCGAAGCGAAGACAGAGTGCCTGGATTGCACACACAAAAAATTCGCCCGACCTCGTGGACGATCCTCGACCCTCGATCCACCTCCTCCTCCTCCTCCTCCTCCTCCTCCTCCGCCTCCTCCTCCTCCTCCTCCTCCTCCTCCTCCTCCTACCCCTCCTCGGGAAGAAATCTCGCATCATTCTCCCAGGTGCCCGGGCGAAGTCCTGGTTAATCGATACGGCCAAGCATGGTGTCAGCAAAGTAAGCCTTCAGGCAGTGACTTGTTTAAGACATTGCTATCACTTCACATCCGTGCACACAAGTCAGCTTCACACTTCACATCCTCAGCCGCCATGAAATTCGAAGAGTCGCCAGGCAAACCAAAGCACCCCACGAGACGACCTGCGATAGGCAAACTCATCCGGTGAACGGTGACCGCGAGCGAGCGCGCGAAAAGTAACGAGTTACCCACCTGCGCTCGGGGGCGGCCACGAAGTGGGTGTGAAAGAGGGGTGCTCGAAAATCATGGCTCGAGGCATGTGCGCAGCCCAGGGAGGGCCAAGGGATGCATTGAAAGAAGAAGAAGAAGAGGAAGAAGTAGAAGAAGAAGAAGAAGAAGAAGACGGGTTCAACGACATCCACAGGAGATCTGGAGATCATGGCCGCGGCAATACCTCCTCCTCCTCCTCCTCCTCCTCCTCCTCCTCCTCCTCGTTATGTTCGTTGTGGCGGCGGTGTGGGTACCCTCTCCTTGGCTCCTGGTCCAGGGACGCCACCCAAAGGCCGCTACCTTCGGACTTCCCGCTGAGGGGACCTGCTTGAACCATGATTCGTCGCCACCGTCGCCATCATCGTCGCCGTCGTCGATCGAGGCTCGGGGATCGAGGCCTCCCCCCACCCCACTGAGGGCACTGTTTCTTGCCCTGAGCTGTCTCCGATGTACTGGAAGTCGCTGATCTCCCCGCTGGCGCCCAGCAGCGTGTAATTGCCGACCTCTAGCGGGCCCGAGGGCTGTCTGGCGACGGACAGGAGAGGACGCAGGAGTACAGCCATCGTGCTATCATATGCGACCACGAGGAACGCCAAATAAGAAACGAAGGGGATCGTCTGGCCACGAAAAGCCTCGGCCACGAATAGGTGTCCCGACCAAGATCCAGAAATAATTTCGAATAATTTCGAGCACCCAGAACGAGTACCGCCCCCCAGGGCCCGACACGTGAAAACCATCAAGTTTCGGTACTTTCTTGGTGCTCGAAGTTCTGATGTCCTCCTACAAGCGATTTTTGGACGAATAATATGACAAAACTCAAAACATCTACAAAAACAGCAAAAATGGTCAAAACATCGTCCACCTATTATTTTTTTACTATTTGGGGATATTCCTCCTGTAGAGGGACAGACCAGACTTGAGAGTACAGCCATCGTGCTGTCATATGCGACCACGAGGAACGCCAGATAAGAAACGAAGGGGACCTTCTGGCCACGGAGAGCCTCAGCCACGCGGACGTGTCCCGACCTGGGTCCAGACGCGGCCCGAAAACCAGATCCCCTCCTGAGCGTCATGAGTTTCGGTGCGCACTTTGCGCGGTGGAACGCGCAGTTTTGGCGGCGCCGACCGTGTGGGCAGGGTGTCCCGCTGCAGGGGTCGTTCGGCCGTCCGCGCCAGGGCGCCCAACGCCGCAAAAGAACATGCCCTGGAACGCAAACTCTGCAATTTTTTGGTCACCCCTGCCCACAACGGTCCTTAATCCAGCGCCACGACTCGGCGGTGGACAAACCTCCCTTTCGTAGACCTCCCCTTAATGAAAATGGCCTGGGACCGAAACCGACGGACCTGGACCCGCAAAAAATGACGGCCGCGACGCCCTCTCGCGAACCGAAAACGGCCAATTCACTAATCGACGTGTCAGGGTAGGAGGTCTATCGACCTCCGAATGACTGTAGGAAGCAAGACTCGGGAACGTCAAAAAGATCCGGTTCATGAAGGTCTGGCCTGCACGAGCGGACATGGCGATAGCCCAGCGTACCCTCTCTGTCCGTGCGACGTTCAAGCGGAGCCGCACGTGCGAAACCGACCGTGTGCAACGAACCCTTGTGGCAACCTCTGCGGGATGCACGAGGGAGGAGGGACAACGTGGCAGCACGGACGGATGCGAGCCGAGCCCCGCTGGCAGGGGCGGGACGAAGGGATCCTCCCCTCATCGCCTGCTCATTCGCCGGCGGTGCCTCTGCTACGCTTGTGGCGCCCGTGTGCCAGGCGCGGGTAACCACCAGTCGGGCCTGGCCAGCGGCGTGCCGGCCCAAGGTGCACACAAGGTGTCCCAGGAGGCCCCCACTCCGAGCGCCCCCTCGCGCGGCCCTTTGCTGGGGCCCACGGACTGCAGCAGCGGAAAACCTCGGAGGGACACCCGGGGCCACGGGCACCTCTGGGAACGGTGCGTCTGCAGCAACTGCCCGCCTCGACGACGACGTGGGCAGTGGTCTCTGACTCTGTGGGAAAAAACACACACGTCTGTAGGAAAAAGACACACACTGTGGGAAAAAAACGCACACAGTGTGTGTGTTTCCCCACAGTGTGTGCTTTTTTTTCCCACAGTGTGTGCTTTTTTTCCCACAGTGTGTGTTTTTGTCCCACTGTGTGTGTGTGTGTGTGTTTGTGTGTGTGCGTGTGTGTGTGTGTGTGTGAGTGTGTGTGTGTGCGTGTGTGTGTGTGCGTGTGGGTGTGCGTGTGTGTGTGTGTGCGTGTGTGTGTGTGTGTGTGTGCGTGTGTGTGTGTGTGTGGGTGTGTGTGCTTTTTTCCCACAGGGGCGCGCGCCGTTCGACACTGAACAGCCCGCCGCGCCGCCGCCCTGCGCGGCCGCGCGCCCCGCGCGGGCTCGGCGGCGCGGCGGCCTCCGGGGCGGCGCGCCCCAAAAGGCGGGGCGTGCAGCGGGAGCCGGCGGCGCGCACAACCCAGGAAGGGCCCTGCTCCTGGTCCTGGTCTTCGTCCTCGTCCTCGTCCTCCTCCTCCTCCTCCTCCTCCTCCTCCTCCTCCTGCTCCTCCTCCCAGCCGATCATAGAGCAGCAGGCGGACCTGATCGCCCCGCTGCTCCTGATTATTTAAAGGTTAGGTTTCATGCCCTCTCAGATACAGGCCAGGATCTCGGTCTTAGCATGAAACACAAGCAGCAAGACCCCTCAGCCACGAAACCCGCTATGCGTTCGATTGGAATGGTGTCAGGCCTGTATCGTGTTTGGGCTCGCGTCCGTCAGTCAGCGGCTCGCGAATGGGAGAGGCAGCACAGGCGCCCATTCTTAGCCCATCAAGCTGGTCACTCTATAGTGGGGCTTGTTTTCAAGCAAAGTTTAGAATTCGAGTGCTACAGCAAGCGCAACGAGCAACTGCATTCTGGAATGATCCTCTGCGATCTCAGCAACTACGATGAGAAGACTAATCGCAGCAAGCTTGCTACCAGGGCGCTTAACAATGGGCTTCCAGCTACACGACTAAGGATCATCCTCAGCATCTACGCTAGCCCCAGGTTCGTCGCCCTTCAGGACCCAGTCGTGACGGTCGGTAACACAGTACATGGGATAGCGGCGGGGTGTGGGTTTGCTACGCATCTCATAGACATGTATACAATAGACCCCCTCGATTCCTGGACCCAGCCGAACCCCAATTTAGACCTCCACATGTTCAATGATGACCTCCTCATAAAGTCGCATTCGATCTACATGAATAATGTCATCCTGAGGCTAGACCGTGGGTCCAGAAGCCTCATTCAGTGCATGCAGCGGGATCTAGACAGCTCGGTCGCCCCTGCCAAGACTCAGATGCTAGCCTCCTGCACCGCGCTGCGAAAGGGTCTCAAGCACGAGCTTCGAGACCGAGCAGGATCGTCGCTGGACATCTCGGGCCCCAACCTCGGCTGCGAGACCGCCGCAGGAGCCCCCCAATGCCGATGGAGAAAGGACCGCCTCGCCACCGCTAGGATGAACACGATCAAGGAGAGGATGATGAGGTTGGGAGCTATCAGGAGGGCAGGAGGAGACACCAATAAGATCTACAACACAGGCGTCTTCGCGGCAACATCTTTCGGTCACGAAGTCACGGGCCTCAACAAGACGCAGTTAACCGTAGCCCAACAGCAACATCTGAAGCTCGAAGGGCCCAAATGCGCCGCCCGTAGCAGGACCCTCAGTTTGATTTTGGCTCGGGACCCCATGTGGAAACTGGCTTTGGGTCCTTCTCTGGTGTGGTATTTAATAATGTGGACGGCCGCCACCAATAGGGGCCAAGGACTTGCTCCCTTACCGTGGCTTCGGGCCCGCGGAGAGGCCTTGATGGACCAAGCCCCTACCCGTTGGGTCAGCGTGCGTTGGCCGTTCGGCGCCACGCAGTTATCCTTCCAACGACTTGGATGGAAGCTGGCCTCCCCACATGCTTTCCAAAGTAGAGAAGGACGCCAATACCCTTTAACCTGTTGTTCCCCAAGCGTTGCACAAAACCTTTTTGCGTCGGGACTGGGAGAAACAGCTTGCTGAAACCGCTGCCTCTAAGCTCGGCCACCCTGGGGGTACCCTCGACTCCAGAGTCGTCTCCCGCGTTTTGGCCAGCCCGACCCTCAGCAAGCAAGAGAGGGGCAATGTGTTGACTTGTCTCATGCAGGGCTGCTGGACGAAAACCAGAGCCGAAGATGCTGGATATAACATAGACTGTACGTGTGAGTGTGGAGCCCCCTCGGACTCCATCAGCCACCGTTTTTTTGTTTGCCCCCTGGCCCATGCGGAGAGAGCCCAAGCCTTTTCGTCCGAAGAGCTGGAGTTGATAGCCAATCGTGAGAGAGACCCACTCCTTATCGTCGGGTACCAGCAGGCGCCAGACTTTAACATTGGAGCCCTCGAGGGCACAAGGTTGAGCAGTTGTGATTTCTGTTGCAGGGACCCCACATGCTCGCTTGAAGAAACGTTTAACCGTTTGGTGTATGTCGACGGCAGCAGCGATCCGTCCCAACACCCATCTCACCGCTCTGCAGGCTGGGATGTAGTTTCCATGAAAGAAAGAGAACCCCACGCCATTCTTTCAGGCCAAGTAGGAGAAATTGTCCCGCAAGGCTCAGGGGTGGCGGAAATGCTGGCCACTGTCGCAGCCTGCACCATACCGCTAATACAGAAAGTCCACACAGATTACCTAGGAGCCATTCAATGTTCTCACCAACCAGGGTACCCAAAGAAGAACGTGCATGCAGGTTTCAAGGTTCTGATGGGCAAAGCTGCCTAAGAGTTGTGTCGTTAGAGTCAAAGCCCACCAGGACCTGAGACAGAATTTAAACGATCAGGGAAAGTTTAACCACGCTAAGGGTAACGATGCGGCAGACAAAGCGGCCAAGAGAGCTGCCCTGAAGTTGTGCAGGCCTTCCGGGGCCGAGATCGAGTTGGCCAAATACGATGAAAGCCTGGTTTGCCGTTTCCTGTTCTTTGTTGCGAAGATTTAACCCAAGTGGCCCGCGTTGGCCCCGCGCCCTGGGAAGAAAGCCCTCGCTAAACCGCAGAGTAGAAACCCAACGATGGGGGCAGCCTCCGCTGCCTACGCCCTGGGGAAGCTGGAGAAACCCATCGGTGGGAGTTTGTCAACGGCCGCCACCTCTGTACGCTGTGCCGTTCCGCTGCTAAGAACGACGCTCAGTATCACCACAGACGTCTCGAGCGATGCCCTGGTTACTGCGCTGGCCTGGCCTCGCTGGCGCAAAACCCCAGGGGTCTACGTTTGTTCACTTTGAATACCTGCTCAACTCGAGCGCGGTAATCATGTGATTCGATTGTGGCTCGTACCCCGAAGCGGGAACCAGGGGCCTGTTGTTTCGAGAGTGCCTCAGAGCACCACAGTCGAACAATGCCAGCACACAGTTGGCTATAGCGCAGGCGTTGGCCCACCCGAGGATACGCCCTCGTGCTCGCCTGGTGTTTAGCCCACCAGCTCGTCTCGAACAGTTTTACCGCCAAGCTTTGGCGGCAGCCGCAGCTCCCAGCCCGTCGCCAGAGGAGTAAGGACCCGCAGAGGGTTGTGCGGATTTCAGACTCGGCAGGTAACCTGCTGTCTCGGCGCTGGAGGCGTCGTGAACTCGAACTCATCGAGCTGTGTGACGGTCCTCCTCCTCCTCCTCCTCCTCCTCCTCGTCCTCCTCCTTCCCCTCGCGTCTCATATGGATGACGCGCCGTGGCTTGCTTCCTGCGGACCCTGCGGCACTGCCCCCCCAAAAAAACCGAATCCAAAAATGTCGACGCGTGGCTTGTGAGCAGGGACCGGCCGCCCCGGCACTCTTGCATGAGTATCGTGCAACCGATCCCCATCCCCAGCGGCGTGGCCTGGGCCCCGCTGGCCGATGTATCCCCCTAGATGGGTATAGGTCGTTCTCTTCGGGTTTCGAGCGATGTATCCGCAACTGGGGTGGTAATTTGGTGGGAGTCTCGAAGGGGTTGGAGATGAGGATGGGGATCGGTTAAACGATACCTGTTCTAGGCCTACCACGACATGTTCTGAGAACCCAGAAATGTTCAAATCACAAAAACAAGGTTCTCAGAACGTGAACCCGATGTGTTCATACAAGAGGCAGTCCCAGCCAGAGATGTTCTGAGAACATTTCGCGCAGACCACAACAGGTTCTAGGGACTTTCTTTGTCAAGGGGCCCAAGGGCACACACATAAATACACACAAATAACGCGAGTCACCATATTTTCCAACATTTTCTGGGTTTTGTCTTCCCCCCCACTTCCCATGTTTTCCCATACTTTCCTGGGATTCGACGATTAATTGTGTCTGTGTGTTTTTCCCGTTCTGATTTTGGCTACGCCACTGCTTGACCCCGGATGATTTTCGGGCCAGAACCCGAGCCTCCAGCGGCCCTTCGGGACGATCTGGGCACTCCCGAAACGCTCTCGGCGAGGCGCAGCTGCTGGCACGCGCCCCGAGGCTGGCAAGCCGCCGAGGCCCGACGGACACGCCCGGACACCTCGGCCCTCTCATAGGCCCAGGGGGGGGCACGACAGGCTCGAGGTCCGACAGGACAGGACGCTTCGCCACTGCTCGGGGCCCTTCCGAGGAACCTTCCGCCGACCTCCCGCCAGCGGGACCGCCGCAGGGCCACGACGGCCCCTCCGCCAGCTTTTGCCACGGCGCGAGGCGCGCCGAAGGCGAGGCCCCCTCTTTTTGCAACGACCTGCACAACGATCTACCCTTCTTCGGTGGCAACTCATGGGGGCCTCTCACTCCTCCGCCTCCCCCTCCTCCGATTGCTCCTCCTCCTCCTCCTTCTCCTCCTCCTCCTCCTCCTCCTCCTCCTTTTTCGTCCTCCTTTTGCTCCTCCTCCTCCTTTTCCTCCTCCTCCTCCCTCAATTCCTCCTCCTCCTCCTCCTCCTCCTCCTCCTCCTCCTCCTCCTCCTCCATCTTGCCGGCTCTTGCGAATCGACGATAATCGACGCTATTTGACGCTAACCGACGCTACATCGACACTCGAATCGACGCTGGACGACGCTAGATCGGCGCTATCTCGTCGACTCTCAGTCGCTCTACTTCTTCCGACCGACTGATATGGCATATGGCTGCCCTCACGAGGCGGCGCCAGGAAGCTGGAAGGAGCGGCATGGCTTGGCTTTGCAAGCTCTTCAAGCCGTCGCCAGTGCACAGTCAGGTGTCATCTACTCATCTAGCTAGCTTCTTCGTTCTGTCCCCACATGTTCCTGTTATGTACTTGCATTGATATGGGGGGCGCGACCCCCCCCCCCGAAACGAGGTCCCCGGCGTCCAGGGCTCCTGGACGCCCCCATCAGCGAGCCCCGCGAGTTCTGGTCCTATGGACGTCGCTGCCAAGCCGGGCGTTAGGGCATACAGTCGGGGCGTTGACCTAAGGAACCCGAAATAAGGAACGAGGCCCCTTTTTGCATAAGTTAAACTTCGATGTCCGATCGAAAACATAAGGAAAACCTGATGCAAGCTGTGAAACACTTAAGGAACGCGGAGCCCCTCCCCAACTAAAAGGGTTCCTTCTTCAGGGCCCCGACTGTAAGGTTCGGTTCGGCGGCGGTCCGAAGAGACCCAAGACGGTCCAAGAGGGCCTCCAGCGGCCCGGAACCCCGCCAGACGCCCGAAGCTGGGCCACAGATCACCCCCTAGAACCTTTCGAAACGCAAGAAAAGGTTGATCTCCCGTTGGTTGTTGTATGACTTTAGGCCACTCGGTTATTCAATCTCCTGGGCGTCCGCGACACCCGAGAGCGCATCCGAAAACCGCTCCAAGACGACAGAAAAAAACATCCTGACACTCCACGAGAGCCCCAAGACGGTCCAAGACGGCCCCACAGAGGGCCCCGTGACGGCTCAAAATTACCCCAAGACGCCCTTTGGATGCATTTAAACGGTGACCCGAGACCACGATTCGCGGCATGGTGGCCCGAGAAACCCCTCCGAGGCCGCCTAAAGGCGCCAGAGAGGTCTCCAGAGGCGCCCAAGGAGCGCCTAAAAAGCTTTCGCGAGGTGCTACTGAAGCTCGCCTCGAAGGCGCCCAAGAGCGTTCGCTGTTTTGATTGTTCGACCTCTCCCTCTCTCTCTCTTTCTATTGTTCTCTCTTTGTTGTTTATCTCTCTCTCTTATATATATATATATATATATATACATATATACATAGATTGTACCCCATTCGACCTGCATGTTAGACGTGAACGACCACGGTGCATAACGCGAAGCTCTCATGCAATCGTGTGTATAGATTTGCATGCGCGCATGCACGCATGCACAATTTATCAGCATACATGATATAGTCTTGCGAACGCGTATGCGTATGTGTAAATGTATGTATGTCTATATACATATACCTATAGCTGTACATACGCATATATGCATGTATTGACATACATGTATATATATATATATATACACATGCATGTGTATGCACACGTGAAGTATAAACATACAGTAGGCATGTCCAAAACGAAACCGGCCTGCCAACAGCTGCCTCCCATGACCATCCATGACCATGAGGGGCTTCAAAACTGGGGGGGGGCACCCTGGGACCCTCAAAGATCGACGAAGAACGTGCCGCAAGATGTCTTGTATGGCAGTGTGCCATCGTATGGGTCTAGTGTCCAATCCTCGACAGCCCTGATCGTAAAGGAGTGCTCCTCCGAGGCTCCTCCTCCTCCTCCTCCTCCTCCTCCTCCTCCTCCTCCTCCTCCTCCTCCTCTTCCTCCTGCTCCCCCTCCTCCTCCTCCTCCTCCTCCGCCTCCTCCTCCTCCTTCTCCGCCCCCTCCTCCTCATCATCCTCCTCCTCCTCCTCCTCCTCCTCCTCCTCCCCTCCCTCCTCCTCCTCCTCCTCCTCCTCCTCCTCCTCCTCCTCTCCCTCCTCCTCCTCCCTACTCTCCTCCTCCTCGTCCTCGCCTCCTCCTCGTCTCGTCCTCCTCCTCCTCCTCCTCCTCCTCCTCCTCCTCCTCATCCTCCTCCTCCTTCCTCCTCCTCCTCCTCCTCTCTCCTCCTCTCCTCCTCCTTCTCCTCCTCCTGCTCTCCTCTCTCCATCCTCCTCCTGCTCCTCCTCCTCTCTCCTCCCTCCTCTCCTCCTCCTCTCCTCCTCCTCCTCCTCCCCTCCTCCTCCTCCTCTCCTCCTCCACCTCCTCCTCCTCCTCCTCCTCCTCCTTCCTCCTCCTCCTCCTCCTCCTCCTCCTCCTCCTCCTCCTCCTCCTCCTCCTCCTCCTCCTCCTCCTCTCCTCCTCCTCCCTCCCTCCCTCCTCCTCCTCCTCCTCCTCCTCCTCCTCCTCTCCTCCTCCTCCTCCTCCCCCTCCTCTCCCTTCTCTTCCTCCTCCTCCCGTCCTCCCCCTCCTCCTCGCGGCGCGGGGGGGGCCTTCTTCAGGCGGCACACGTCCTTGTAGCGGGCCTGCGAGCCTTGGGTGGTCGCCGGCCCAACAGCCAGGCACAACACGCATGGGCGGGCCACCTGTGCACCAGGCACCTCCACCACGCCTGGCCAGGGCTGGGCGCGGTGGTGGTGCTCCAACGTTTTGGTGTTTTCAGTCGTCGAATACGGGATCGACTACAGAATTGCTTTCGATCTGCGGACATTACACGAACGTGTGCTCCTGGCTTCGGTGAGGAAATCAATTTGGGGTAAATCGATTCTGTAGTCGAGTCCCAACTCGAACATCTGGGCGTTTACCCTCGATTTCGGACTCCGGACCCGCTGGTGGGCCCCAGGACCGTCAAACATGGATCCGTGGCGAGAAGCCACCCAGGGGGGAAGGGGTCGGGACCTCCGAGGCGGCTCCACCGAAGACAAGAACAGCAAGTCGGCGAAAGTCTGGGCATGCCCAGCCGGGGCCAGGCATGGTCGTGGCGCACGGGTGCCCGCGGACAAAAACAAAACAAAACACACGGCACGGCCCTCGCTCTTGGCCATCGCTGGAGGCCGGGTTGGAAGATCGCGCGGAATCGCCAATGAACTGTATCGCAAACGCGGGGGCCGCCGTGCTCTTTGACCGGAGAAGGCGTGGCCATCGTTCAACCACAGGGCACGCGGAATGAGGAGCGAAGGGGCGCTGCTGGCCACGGCGAGCCTGGGACACAAGCAGGCTCCCCGACCTGCCTATGGGAAACTGCCCGAAAACACAAACACAGAAACCGCGACAGACACACAAACTTTCGTAGGTCCGCGCGGAGTGCACGGATCGGCGCTGCACACACACCCTGGCGCACGGAGCGCGCCCGCGGCGGCGCCAGGGGGGTCGCAGGGGGGCCCAGCGCCGATCCAAAACAAATCAGCGCGTACCTCCGAAGCCTTGTGTCCATGATCCATGATTATGCTGTTTTCCCTTCTTCGAGAGAGCCAGCGCCACTCCTTGAGAGGCAACGATAGGGAGGGAAAGGCGTAGTGGGGGAATGCATCGGCCTCGAATTGCCGATACATCGCCAATGTGTCGTCGATGCAGACCGCCCCATGTGCCGCCACACATCGTCGATGCATCGCCCTGATAGCAACGATGCGTCGCCGATGCATCGTCGATGGATCAACCACTCGAGGTCGATGCATTCCCTTCTATGCCAATCCCCTCCCTACAGTGGAGGCCAGCCCACAAGAAACCTTCCACAAGAAAACCAAACCTGAGACCCCAGGACGTCCATTGCGTTCTGGCGCGGGAACGTCACGATCTTCTCGGCAACACCCTCGAAGCCCAAGAAAACCCGGGGCACGCTGGAGGCAAGCCGTGTGCTCCATGGCATGGGTCTCCACTGTATCGCTGCCCCCGACCCCTCACCCTCGACCTCCACCTTCCGCACCTTCCGCGCGGCAGGTGCCGCGCAGCGGCCGCCGCCACCGCGGCCGCAGCAGCGGCCGTCGTCGAGGCCGCAGCGGCGGTCTCGGCGGTCGCTGCGGCCGCGCCGCGGCGGCACCTGCTGTGCGGAGGGCTCGGACGGTGGAGGTCGCGGGCAGCCCAGAGGGGCGCCCGGCCCGCACGCGGAGGAGAACCGCCAGCACACGCCGGGGCGGCAAGGGGGGGGGGGGGCCACACCGTGCCGCCGCCGCCGCCGGGCACCGCCACCTCTCGGCAGCGCTTCGGGGGCGGCAGCGGCGGCTGCCTGCGGCAGGCCCGGGGCTCACCCGCCCCGAGCACAGTCAACCCGCACAGCAGGGATGGGCATCTCGCTGGCCGCACCCCGCCCGAAGAGCTTCGAGATGGCCTTCCAAGGCCCCTGCTGATGCGGGTTGAATGTAGAAGCCGCTGGTGCGTCGGGGATGCAGCGGCGATGCATCGGCGACGTCGGCGATGCATCGGCGAAATCGGCGTGGAGAACATCGGGTTCCACACCGAGCCGCATCGCCGATGCATCGGCGATGCGGCGCGATCCACCCTCCGACGCCATCTGCTCCGACCCCATCTGGGAGGCCCATATTGCCCCCGCGCATGAAAACACAACGGGGGACTCAACCACATCGCGACAGGAGGAAGGCGGAAGGAGGGACGGCCTGAAAAGCACGGCGATGCAGTTGCGACAGGAAGGAGGAGGTAGGAGGACGAAGGACGAGGAGCGCCTACCCCGAGATCTGAATGTTCTCCCTCGGCGTCGGCCTCTGTGGCACGCTGTCGGGCCCGGGGGCCATCCAAGAGAAATGGACAAGCACGAGACAAAACAACCCCATGGGAGGGAGTCGGGCACGCGCCGCGAGAACAAAAACAAACAAAAAAAACGCGTCGTCGGAGATTCAAGCCCGAGGGGCGGGTTCCCGCGATGTTCCCCTGAGAGGAAGGGGAACAAAAAACTGCGCGAGCAGAACCTTTCGGCGCTCCGCGTGGACTTCTTGGATCTGCGCGGGAGCCCCCCTCCCTGGCGCGCGGAGCGGTGCGCGCCAGGGGCGGCGCCGGAGACGCCGCCAGGGGGGGGGGCCCAGCGCGGATCCAAGGGACGCGTTTTTTTTTGTTGGCAGCCGCAGGCGAGAGCGCCAGCGGCGAGTAAGGTCCAAGCGGTCCGCGCGGGAGCCTAATTGCCTAGCGCGGAGCAGAGCAGGACCTACCGCCGGAGGAAGCCGCAGCGCCGGGGCTGCGGGGCAGCGCCGGGGGTGGGGACTGCAGGCTGCTGGGGCTGCCGGGGCTGCCAGGGAGCTGCAAGCGTGCAAAGACCAGGGAGCTGAGTCACCAGGTGTGTGAATTGGGGCTGCTGCGAATTAGCCAGCCCCAAGGGACGCGCGCGGAGCGCCAAAAGTTTATGTCTAAGCCGTGTTCTCTTCTTTGGGGGAAGAGCGGGCATCAGGTCGCCCGACATCGACGGTGCATCGGCGATGCGGCACTCTGGCCGCACCTGCTCCGACCCCACTCTGGGATGGGCGCGGGGGGGTGCTCTGGGGATATGAGGGTGGTCAGTGGATCCCAAGGCAGGTGATGTCTGGCCTAACCTGGTTTATCAGTGGGTGGCGAATCCCCCAAGTGGCCTATGGGAGGTCGAATAAATCCGCTAAGTGGGCGGAGCCCACATCGCCGGGAACTTCAAGCCCCCTAAACCGCTTGGGGCAGATGGGTTCGGCCAGATAGAACCCACCTTGGCATCGACTTGTCTTGCAATCGCTCGGACGTGCACTCCAACTGCCCTTTTTCAGTTCCGTGCGCTTATTTGTCGCAAGATGATCCAGGATGCTCCTCGACACCCGAGCGACGCCAAGTGGTCGAGTAAGAGATCGACTACTGAATTGATTCACCCCGAAAACTCAAAATTCCGTCGAATGTACGGTAGATGATGTAAAACATTCGTAACTGTGCGTCGGCGAGAAAAACAAGTTTGGGGATCAATCAATGCGTAGCAGATCCCCTACTCGAAAAGTGAGCGACGATCAAAAACGGGCCTTACGCAAGATGAAGTAGCGACCTGACGCGGTGCCTTACGCGGGCCGCAATCGTGGCACGCCGCAGTGGAACAGAGGGCGCTCACGCGCGACCTTACGCGGGCAGCTTACGTGCCGCTGTAGGTGAAGACGATCCGGTTGCTTGCCGTCGCTCAAGTGGTAGTCCTCCCTGCGCGACCCCCGCGCCGATCCCAGCGGACTGGAACGGCACGGGGCGGGCGAGGAAAGGCGGCGGCGGGGCGCCGTAGCTCGCCATCGTGTCCGCGGCCAGCAGCACGCCGCCCGCGTACTTCATCCCGACGACGGTGGCGCCTCCGCCCGGCGGCAGACGAGAGCCGCGGTCCCTTGCCGTCCCTCTGCCCTCCCTCCTCCCTCGCCTCCTTTGCAATCCCTCCTACATCTGCCCTCCCCCTCCCTCCTACGCGCTCCCTCCTCCCTCTGCCCTCCCTCCTCCCTCCTGCTTCCTCCCTCCTCCCTCCTCCCTCCTCCTCCTCCTCCTCCGCCTCCTCCTCCTCCTTCTCCTCCTCGTCCTCCTCTTCTCCTCCTCCTCTCCTCCTCCTCCCTCCTCCTCCTCCTGATCCTCCTCCTCTCCTCTCTTTCCTCTTACTCCCCCTCCTCCTCTTCGTCCTCCTCCTTCTCCTCCTCCTCCTCCTCCCTCCTCCATCCTCCCACCTCCCTCCTACCTCCTACCTCCTGCCTTCTGCCTCCTGCTGCCTGTCTCCTGCCTTCTCCTCCTGCCTCCTGCCTCCTGCCTCCCCCTCCCCCCTTCCCCCCTCCTCCGTCCTCCCTCCTACCTCCTCCCTCTTTTCTCCACACTTGCAACATCTGAATACCACTCTCCTCTCTGCCCTGGCGGTGTCTGGGAAATATTCGCCTCCCCTCCGCACATTTGTTTTTCACTCTCACAAGCTTCCCGGGGAACGGGATTTCGCTTGGGCTGTTTTTCAAAATGCTGCTCTCGCTGAGGCGCTGGCCTCATTTTCGGGCTACCGTTTGTTCCAAACCGTGTTCCCGCTGCAGCGCTAAGCTCATTTTCGCGCTTCCGCTCGTTCCGTACCGTGCTCCCGCTGCAGCGCTGGCGTCACTATTTCCAGCGCCATGCCACGGCAAGGTTTTCGAACCTTCCAAATCGGCCCCAAAATCTAGAAAATGCCCCCCGAAAAAACCTTCGGAAGTGATTACAGATTCGTCATCGAGTCGTTGATTTTGTGGGTCGGAGAAGCCCCCCTCTCCCATTTTGGGGCGTCGCCACGTCATGATATGTCAGGCTACGCGACCTCCGAATCGTGATCCCGCTGCAGCGCTGGCCTCATGTCCGCGCTTCCGCTTGTTCCGAATCGTGCTCCCGCTGCAGCGCTGGCGTCATTATTTCCAGCGCCATGCCACGGCATGGTTTTCGGTCCTTCCAAATCGGCCCCAAAATTTAGAAAATGGCAACCCAGAACAACTATCGGAAGTGATTACACATTCTGTGTAGATTCGTTGGGGCGTCGCCGCGCCCTGCTATGTCAGACTACGCGTTAATCTTGAACACGATGCTGTGCCATGTAATGCAATGCCCTGCTACGACATCCGACTGTGCGAATAGAGAAGAGATCTACGCCGTGGTAAGGGGGGGGGGGAGGGGTAGGACGCCAGATATGACGCGAGCGCACCTAGCTTGTCCTTTTCCCTCCCTCCTCCCTCCTCCCTCCTCGCTCCTCCCTTCTCCCGCTGCCCTCCCTCTGCCGCACCTCTGCCCTCCTCCTCTCCTCCTCCCTCTCCTCCCCCCCCTCCTCCCTCCCCCTTCCTCCCACACCGCGGCACCACCGCGCGAGCCCATCCCCGGCCCGGGGTCGCTGCCTCGCGCGCGGCGGCCCGATCGGAAGCTCGGGGCTGGCCGGCAGGCTCTGGCCGGCCCGATCGGAAGCCCAGGGCTGCGTCGCGTGCGGCGGCCCGAAGATAGCGCCCGCGGCCCAAGGTGCCCCCGCAGGATCTCCGAGAAGGCCCCCCGCGGGCTCCAGAGAGCACCCCATCGCGAGGGCCACCGGGCCCCGGACGTGAGCGAAAACCTGGGGGCACCTGGGTCGGGCGTTGGCGGGGCTGGATTTGGTGTCACATGCGGAGTTTTGATGGTTGCTTCAAAAGGAAAGCAAACAATGCTCAAACATTGGCAAACAAATACTAAACACTCGCCCCCACACTATGTCCAGACCCTCCTGCGTTGGGCACTCGCTTTGAATAGAGCACTGCGGTCGCGACCTTCCTTCCCGACCCCCTTGTTGTCTCTCCCCTGCTGCCCATAACCTCGTTCCCTCCTGCCAGCCAGCTTGTCTCCTACCTGGTCATCTTTGTGGGGCTGCGATCTGCGAAAAGCTGTCGCCACGTTCGAGGGCTGGTGAGGGGTGCAGCGGAGCAACGCCTTACGCGGACCACCAGGAGACCTCGCCTTCCTTGGGGGGCTGCGATCTACGAAGCTGTCGCCACTATCGAGAGCTGCTGGGGGGTGCGCCAAAGTGACGTTTTACGCGGAACACCAGGAGACCTCGCCATTCCTGGGGGGCTGCGATCTGCGAAGCTGACGCCACGTTCGAGGACCTCGCCATCCTTGGGTGGCTGCGGTCTGCGAAAAAGTCGCCACGATCGAGAGCTGCTAGGGGGCTGCAGCGGATCCACGTTTGACGCGGACCACCAAGAGACCTCGCCATCCCCGGGGGGCTACAATCTATGAAGCTGACGCCACGTTCGAGGGCTGCTTACGCGGACCACCAGGAGACCTCGCCATCCGTGGGGGGCTGCGATCTGCGAAGCTGTCGCCACGTTCGAGGGCTGCTGGGGGGTGCAGCGGAGCGACGTTCTACGCGGACCACCAGGAGACCTCGCTTCCTTGGGGGGCTGCGATCTACGAAACTGTCGCCACTGTCGAACGCTGTCGCCACTTTCGAGGTCTGCGGGGAGGTGCAGCGGAGCGACGCCTTACGCGGACCACCAGGAGACTTCGCCATCCCTGGGGGGCTGCGATCTTGGAAGCTGTCGCCACGTTCGAGGGCTGCTGGGGGGTGCAGCGGAGCGACGTTCTACGCGGACCACCAGGAGACCTCGCTTCCTTGGGGGGCTGCGATCTACGAAACTGTCGCCACTGTCGAACGCTGTCGCCACTTTCGAGGTCTGCGAGGAGGTGCAGCGGAGTGAAGCCTTACGCGGACCACAAGGAGACTTCGCCATCCCTGGAGGGCTGCGATCTGCGAAGCTCTCGCCACGTTCGAAGTCTGCTGGGGGGTGCAGCGGAGCGACGCCTTACGCGGACCGCAAGGAGACCTCGTCATCCCTGGGGGGCTGCGATCTGCGAAGCTGTCGCCATTTCCGAGGGCTGTTGGGGGGTGCAACGGAGCGACGTCTTACGCGGACCACCAGGAGACCTCGCCATCCCTGGGGGGCTGCGATCTGCGAACTCGTCGCCACGTTCGATAGCTGCTGGGGGGGTGCAGCGGAAGAGCGTCTTACGCGGACCACCAGAAGACCTCGCGATCCCCGGGGGGCTACAATCTGCGAAACCGTCGCCACTTTCGAGGGCTGCGGGGGGCTGCAGTGGAGTGGCGGTTTACGCGGACCACCAAGAGACCTCGCCATCCCTGGGGTCCAGTGGAGTGGCGCCTTTTTCTGTTACGTGGGGTTTGTTTCGAGCTCCAGGGTCGTCGGAAAAAACAAAGAAGCTGGCTAGCGAGATAGGCCTCGCTCGCTTCTTGCACTATCTACCAGCAAGTTTAACAATTTGTCCGAACGCCGCGGCGACATGGCGCAAGCAACGCTGCATCTGTAGCGCACAACGGACAAAGGCAACACTCTTCCGATTCCTCCCGTCACTTTCGTCGTCGCCCTATGCCCCCTGCCACATTCCCTCTGCTGCTGCCGCGCTGACGGTTCGGCCCCCCAGACGTCCTGATCCTGCCCTTCGTTCCCGCCCCCATGTCCTCCTCAAGCCTAGGCCGTCGTTGCTCGTCCGTCTCTGTGAACCGTGCCACGTGAGCGCGTCCCATGTAGGTTGTACAACACAACGGCGCCTGCACGGTCATTGTCCTGGCAAGTTTGGGCCAATTCCTCTTCTCACTTGATGCACATGGGTTGGGCACGTCACAGGGTAATGTTCAAACATGTTTGAATACTCCTTCTGTAGAGGGACACGTCCGATTCAAGTTTAGTGGGATCTGGTTCAGCGATGTCCCCCGCCCCATTCCGCTCACCGGATCTGCCGTCAAAACAACAGCTAGTGCGGACTTGGCTCAAGGATTCTGGCTCATCTTTGGGGCTCCTGGCCCCCTATCGCTTTTGTTGATTTCCTCTCATTGGGGTCCTTTTTGGCGATGCCCGAAATCGGGCCCAGGGGCACCTTCTAGCGCAACCCCACATCTCTTGGGAGCCATGGGTGCTGCATGCCGGCCGACCTGCCCCCGCTGGCCTCCGCCCGCCGGAGTCAGCCCGGGACTCGACTCATACAGAGAGTCGAATTCGAAACATATCGAATGCGGCCTGTTCTGCCTTGCTTGTCATCCTGCCATGCTCGTCAGGTCTCGTCCAGCCCTTCACTCAGCAAGGCAGAGGAAGAGGAGGAGGAGGAGGAGGAGGAGGAGGAGGAGGAGGAGGAGGACGAGCAAGAATCAGACACACAGAGCTGGGAGGGCTAAACAGCATCTCGGCGGCGGCATGCCCCAGCGTCATCCCGTGCCGTACAAAAGCTCAGGTGCGCCACCGCCGCGAGGTCTGTTGCTGTTTTCGGCTCCCAGGGGCCCTCACCGCAAAAAACGAGTCAGTATGCAAAACTGGTCCCGGGGAAGGGGTCCAGGCCTTTGGGAGTCGACGTTATGAAAAAATCACGACATCGGGGGTCTGGGAAGGAAGCGGTATAAATCAGAAGGAAGGCGAGCGTGGCAACGAGGAAGGCGGCGATGCAAGAATCAAGAAGCAGGACGGAATAGCGAGGGAAGAGACGACCAGCCGGAAGCCCCTCCTGCTCCTGGCAAAGCGGCGCGCCTGTGACTATGGGCTGAAGCGTGTGCTTCTTCGGATCCGCGGAGTACTGGCCGGGCGCCATCGCAAGAACAGCCCCCCGAAACAGCAAAGTCGCCGGGGCTGCCGAATCTAGCCCTTGGCTATCAAAGGGCTGCGCGAAACCATCGGCAGAATACCAATCTGCACGGATGTAAACTCTGGGAGGTCCGCGCGGATGTCTCCAGTTCGTCGGCGCCCGAGCCCCTTCCCCTGGGGGGCGAATGCGTGGGAATGAGACGGGGAGGCCGGCTCAGAGGGGGAAGCATCCGGCTGGAATCGGCGATACGTCGTCGATAGATCAGCGATAGGCATCCGAGAGCGGAACCGCCGGTTACAGTGGAGGCCAGTCCACAAGAAACCTTCCACCAAAAACCAACCCTGAAACCCCAGGACGTCCACTGGCTTTTGGTGTGGGAGCGTCACGCTCCCCATAGCAAACCCATCGAAGCCCAAGAAACCCAGGGCACCCTGGAGGCAAGCAGGGTGTTTCTTGGCATGGGTCTCCACTGCACTGGGCGGGATGGGCTATCGGGCCCTCAGCAACGCTGAGTGGACCTTTGGGGGTCGGTACGCTCCCCCCTGAGCCTATCCCTCCTTTCGTTGCCCCTGGGCCCAGCGCAGGCCCAAGAGTGCCGCGCGGACCTGACTGCCTACCCAGACCACCCCAACCCAACCCGAAGACCCGAACTTCGGATTGGGGGGGAGGGGTACGGGTTCCAGATGTGTTTTTTTTCAGTGGTCCTCGACCCCCCCTCCACTGGAAATGGAGGGCAAACTGAGGCATCCGGATTGGGATGGGGTGGTGTGGTGGGTGGTGAGGACCTCTGCCGCTGCGGGCCTCTGCCGACGCCCCCTCTCTTCCTCGAGAAGCCGCTGGCCCCGGTGGCGCAACCCCTGGCGGAGCGGCGCGACGGGAAGCTCGCCATCGCTCGGACGTCCATTCCCTGTGTGTGTTTTTCGGTTTCGTGCGTGGTTACTCCTCGATGGTCCTGGCCGGAGGAAAAATGCACACGTCCGAGCGATGCCAAGGAAGCGGACGGCCCCCGCCACCACGCAGCTGCAGACCCGCCGCCCCCGGCAGGCCCGAAGCCGACGAGGCTCAGGCCTCGCTGCTTCTGATGGGCCTCCTCTCCACCACCACCACCACCACCACCACCACCATAAGTTGGAGGGGGGACGTGGGTGGAGGGCGAGGAGTAGGACGAAGAGGAGGAGGAGGAGGAGGAGGAGGAGGAGGAGGAGGAGGAGGAGGCAGAGGGGGAGGAGGAGGCGGAGGAGGAGGACCCCTTCCGCCTCCCGTTTATGGTGGCGGCGGTGGAAAACAAGCCCACCAGCTTCGGGTCGGACGAGAGGGGAGCGCAGAAAAGGAGAGGCTGGCGAAGCAGCTCAGGGAGCCGGGTTCTCCTGGCGCCTCACGGCGCCGGGAAGCGCCAAGCCGGCGGCGGGGCCAGATCACATGCTCCCCGCTCCCTTCCCCTCCCTTTGGGGGAACTGAAAGGTACCGATAGCGCTGCTCCCTGGGCCTCCCCTGGGGCGGGCCCTGGAGGCCTCCCGACGAGGCAACGAGCAGAAGGGGAGTACGGGGAGGGAGAAGGAGGAGGACGAGGAGATGGCAGGCTCGAGGGGGAGAAAGAGGAGCGAGGAGCGAGGAGCGAGGGGCGCGCGGCCACTGAGGGGCCCGCCGGGCTCCCCCCGGACCGAGGCGCGGGGGAGCGGGGGAGGAGGATGCTGGCGCACTGCGCAGCCTGAAGGGTGGGTGTGATGATCACCCATCCTGGGGTGGTGCCATTGGGGGGGGAGGGGGAGGAGGAGGAGGAGGAGGAGGAGGAGGAGGAGGAGGAGGAGGAGGAGGAAGAGGAGGAGGAGGAGGAGGAGGAGGAGGAGGAGGAGGAGGAGGAGGAGGAAGAGCGCACGCGCACTCGAACCCTACTTCCGTTTGGGGGAGCGCGAGGAGGACGACGACGAGGGAGACCCGTGTAAGCCCAAGACCCATCAACGATATTGCCATCAACCCTCGCTCCGAGTTCCCGCTTCGCAGGCCTCTACAAGGGTTCATTTCCACTGAAGGAAATGCCCCGTTGGAAGACAACCATTTGAAAATACGGAACGCGCCGCGAATCATAATTACTGTTGCATCTTGACGGTCCTGGACCGTGCCAAACCCCATACAGCGTGGGACGTGAACACCGCGAATCAGCGTGACTGTTGCGCCCTGACATTCCGACATCGTGCCAAAACGCCGAATCCTTGGAACTGGTGCAGCCTCTTCAGACGAACACGTGCGGCGCTGAGGCGAGAGCCACACTCTGAGAAGGAGCCGCCCCCAATCCGCAAAGCTCTTGCAATGTTTCAAACGAACATGCGCGGCGCTAAGGCGAGAACCGCACTTCGAGAAGGAGCTGCCCTCCATCCTCTAAACCCTTGCCGTTCGTTTAAGACGAATGTGCGAGGATTTTCGGCGAGGGAAACATTTTGAATGCGGGCCGCCCCCCATCCGCGAAACTCTTGCAACTTGCAACTTGCAATGATGGGAGGCAAATGGGCGCGGCGCTGAGGCGAGAGCCACATGTGGACAGCGGGCGGCCCTCCACCCGTGAAGCTCCCGCAGAGCTCAAGCTGCATGTGGAGATGGGGCCGCAAAGCGCAGCTGGGATAGGTCGCTGCGTGGAACTGCTGCGTGCAACTACTGCGCGCGACTACTGCGAACGATTGCGCCCGCGGGCTCAACGACTGCGTCATAGTGCATGAACAGAGGCAACTACTGCATCGTGGCAGGCCAACTATTGCCAACGATTGCTCCTCGCGAAAACGCATCGCAGAGATAAACGATTGCGTCCGCGAGCAAACTATCCTGGAGCCCTAGACCCCATCCTGCTGGTCATGTTTCGAGACGGTCCGATCCGTGAGGGTCCAGGGGCCCGCAAGAAGGCGAGAACGCCCGGCTCGAAAAAAACGAAACGCTAGGATCTCAGGGGAGGAAGTAAAACGATTTACCCCTCAGTCAAAACTCGAGACGCTAGGATCTCAGGGGAGCCACAGCACTCTTTCTGGATGACGTCTCACAGCGCACTCCCGCTTAGATCGAGGTTACACATGCTCGCATGGTATCGCTGATATCTTCCCGCGTAGAATCCTTTCTCAAACCCCCCAAAAATCGGGCACTGCTAGAAGTACCCCTGGCCCAAGGTGCACCCAGCTTTGCGCTCCATTCTGGAGCCCCTGGTGCCATCTGGGCCTCGTGAGGGGTGCTTTGGAGGCCGTTTGGGCTACCCCGAGAAGAGAATCCTGCGGGCACCTTGGCCCAGGGGCACTTCTAGCAACACCCGAAAGACTACGAGCACGAAAACAGAGGAAAAAAAAAGGCAGGCCCGCCTCGCCGGCGCGCGCAGGGCTCTCCGCACCGGCGCGGCGAGGACGGCGAGAGGCCCGTGGGGCACCGCCCCGGGGGGAGAGGCGGGGGGGGCGGCCCTGCGGAGCCTGCGGGGGCCTGTGCTCTCCCGCGCGGGGAGGGGGAGAAACCCTTCGAGCAGCGGATCCAGACGTGATCGCGCCGTTAAAAAAAATCAGGGCGGCAAATGTTTCGCTATTTTCGGCCCCCGGGGGGCCCTCGCCGGTCCCCGGGAACTTACAAAAAAACGACTCAGGATGAACAACCAGCCCTGGGGAAGGGGTCTGGACTTCTGGGGGCGCCGTCCTGAAAAAACTCAGGACGTCGCATGTTTGGGGATCGACTACAGAATCGAGTCAGCCCATCGTCGGGTCCATGGAAAAAGACGTCGAATGTCACGGGCGTTCTACGTAGTGGTTCGCTGAGCCGGCGAGACAAGAAATTCTGGGGCAAATGGGTCCCCTACTCGAGCCCTGAGATCCATGCGTCTTTCGAGCCGGGCGTCTTCGCCCCTATTCGGGCCCCGGGGTCCTCACAGGCCGGTGTTTCTCGAACATGGCGCAGAAGGATAAGGGGTCCAGAGCTCTTGCCGTGTTTGTGTCGCTGAGTTGCGTGTTTCTGCTACTTCGGATCTCAAGGAACATCAAGAGGCCACCAAATGTCTGGAAACCTTGGCGCAACAAGAGGAGGGGGAGAAGGGGGTACAGGGGAGATCGTCAACATCAGGTGTGCAGTAGCTGGCAGCTTTCATTGAATGATGGTTGGTGGCTTGGGCGCTCGTGTTCGCCCAGCGGCTTGTCTAAGAAAAGAAGGAGGGGAAGGGAAACAAATCTCCTGGTTCAGGCGGCCCGCCTATGATGACGTACGCGGGGGCACGGTCACAAAACGTGACGGAACGGACTTGAGGCGTCGCTGAGTCGAGCTGGATGCGAGGTGAGCGGAGTGCTGAAGCACGGCCTCGGGCATAAAGATCGCGGCGGCAGTTGGATGGGATATGGAGAAGGAAGGAGGAGGAGGAGGAGGAGGAGGAGGAGGAGGAGGAGGAGGGGGAGGAGGGGAGGAGAGAGGAGGAGGAGGAGGAGGAGGAGGAGGAGGAGGAGGAGGAGGAGGAGGGGGAGGAGGCTCTACAAGAGAGCCAACAAGAGGCCCAACAACTCGATGTGTCGGAACACCTTCAGACAGTTTCCTCCTCCTCCATCTCCTCCTCCTCCTCCTCGTCCTCGTCCTCTTCCTCGTCCTCCTCCTCGTGCTCCTCGTCGTCGTCCTCGTCGTCGTCCTCGTCGTCCTCCTCGTCGTCGTCGTCGTCGGCGTCGGCGTCGGCGTCGGCGTCCTCGTCGGCATCGTCGTCGTCCTTCCCCGCCTCTTCCGGGCAGTGCCCGCGCGCGGCTTCCTCGGAACGAGCCTCCTGGGGGGCGGGGCCCCTGCGGGCTCCCTGGGGGGGGGGCCCGCGGGGATGCCGCGGGGACCCTGGAGAGTTCGCTGGAGGCCCTCTGGATTACAACCGATCTGCTGCTACAAGGAACCGTAAATAAGGAACACGGCCCTTTTTTCCACAAGCTGAACCCTCGATTGCCCGTGGAAAGCCGAAGGGACACCTATAACAAAAACGCACAATCAAAGGCAGAAACGTGGAATGGGGACTCTCCGCTGCAATGTCCCGGCGAAAAACCGCGGGCCACGCCCTGAGGCCGCGAGGAGGACATCCACCTCCACGCCCATATCCTCC